TCTTTTTTTAAAGTAAGCCTGAATTCGAAAAACTGTTAAATTGATCTTTATAAAAGAAGCAATATTTACTCAAGCATTTTTAATATATTGTTACTGAAACATATGTTTAAATATTTTTATGAATAATTGAAGAAAATAAAAACAAAATCTAACGAACTGAGTGAAAATATGTTTGGGTATATAAATTAAATAATTTTTTTTCACTATGCTTTAATTGTAATTATAATTTTTCTTTGAAGCTTTTTTGTTATTATTATTATTTTGAAGAACCCTGAAACGTGAAATTTTCAAATTTGTAATTATGAGAACAAATTTTTTATTTAGAAGTGATATCATTAGATTTTTTAAAATTATCGAATATTGTTTATTATTTCGACAAGATATCCTCCGGTAATATATAAGACTTTTTCCTAAAATAAATATTCTAATCGATCGAAATTGATGCATTTTGTAAATATTTATACAGTTCATCTTTATTTATCTAAAACGCAAAACTAATATTATTGCGAATTCCGATTAAGGTACAAGATATGATACTGTGTAAATTTCGATATTAAATATATATAATATAAAAAGGAAATAAATGTACTATATAAAATTGTCATTATATAGAAGTTAGAGTTTAGATTGTCAATATTTTCTAAAGTTAAAAGAATATTTTATTTAAGTTATATATACTAATTTTAAAAACGAAATATCAAATATTTAACATAGGAAAAATACAATATATGCATATTTTTATGCTTCAAATGCGTATATTTTTCTTAGGAGAGACATCAACATTAGAGAAATGTTGTTTGATCTGAAGGAGAGATTTCTAATTTGAACTGTAATTAAGAAAATGTATAATAAAATATTACGTTTCATTGAATATTACATTCATAGATCGACATTTATTGGAGAATTTAAGGGGACATGTTACAATTTAATAACGAATCTTTGATTTAATAGTTTTTACAGTTTTTTTCTTTCATTTTTTGCTTTAAACCAATGCTTATGGATAACATAAGACAGTTTTTGAGCTCAAAATACAACAGAAGGCTAACTATTTAATTTTTTAAGGCAAAGTTTTAAAATTTATGAAGGGATTTTAAGATGCTACTCTCCCTACAATAATTGGCATACTCACATAAAACTTTATTTACCAATACGTCAAGCTATGTATAACAAAAGTTGATACGATACGGGTTTTATGCTAGCATGATTGATATTTGTAAAATACTTTTTGTAATGCTTATTGAAAAAACCTTAAAGAATGTGTAGAAATTCTAAATTAAAATATTTTTTTTTAAAAAAAATAAGTATTGCTTTGATTCAAAAACGCATACCAATTTTTGTTACAAGTTCTAATAGAAATAGGTAAATAAATAAATAAATTGAAAGCATTTGGCACAATAGGAAAAATCCTTAGCATTTTAAATGAATACAAGTGAGTTATTTTTTCTTTATGAGATAAATCCACTTAAAGAGTTCTTATTTGCCATTAGGAAGTGAATAAAAACAAACGGAAAAGTTATCATAAATCAGAATTTTTTTAGAGTTTTCAAATTTTGTCAGATTATAGGAAGTTATATAAAAAATAATTTAAGCTTAAAAATTTTTATTTGAATTTTTGACCGATTTTGATTATTGAATCGTATTGATTCCTCTTAATAAGTTAAATTTGCTCAAATGTTCCGCTTTCTTAACAAAAAAAAAGTATAACTTTAAAATAATTTATTCTTTTGAACGTTTCTCACAATTTTCTTCTATACCTAACAAGTAGCGATTAGGATTATTAAGAATAGAAAAAAATTCCAAGCTAATGTGAAAATAAATATCCCAAAATTATCGTAATTCAGATATATATTTCATTTGTTATTAGTTCCATAATAACTTTATAGATAAACAAAAGATTCTTATTTAATATTTATCTTAAAATTTCAAAGTTTTTATTAATTTTATTCTATTTAAACATACTCCATTTTATACATGAACAATATACATTTCATTATCAGCAATGAAATTGTCATTTTACAAATGTGATTATGTTTTATAAACTGAGCAATGGATGTACTTAGTATTTTTAGGTTAGGTATGTTGTAGCTGTAATATCTAATTTTTCCTTTAAATTGGAAATTTAAAAAGGAATCTTCCAACTATTAACAGAAAATAAGATTATAACTTCTTAATATTTAGGGTAAAAATGTAATTGCTTAACGAAATTTTTCGCTTCAATTGTGTAATACATTGTTAGAAATTAATCTTTAAATTTAACAAATGATAACTCTTGTAACCATCAGTAAATGACAGCATTCCTAATTTCAGCTACACAGATTCAATAAAGAACTTATTAATACAAAAATATATAAGCGCGTATATTTGTTTAATCGTAACATAGACTTTTTTCTAGTATTGGATATTGAGTGTACATATATTGCATGTACGAGTACATTCAAAAAGAAAATTCCTTAAATATATGATTTTTTCTCTTTTAAAATGTATCAAAATAGTTCACCTTAAATTTTTTAAAAATTTTACTTATTTTAAAATGTTTGATGTATTTAATACAAAATGCGAAACTATCAAATGTATAACGTTTGTAGAAATACAGCAAAATAATTAATTATTCTTACAGCAATATGTTTTACAAAACACAAATATAATTAATAGTTTCCTTTCTCTATCTGTTTAGTATTTGAATCAATGATAATAGCCCGATATAAAATATTACTGCATATTACGAAATAATCATAATTACATTCAATATAAATATGAAACAAGTAATATAAAAAAAAATATTTTAAGTCAATTCCTACTTTGATCAACAAAGAAAAACTTTATTTTAGCTACTTTTTATTAAATAGTTACAATTAATATAAATATGTATATACATATGACAGAATCACAACATTAAGTGGCAATTAATTTTTATTAATTATCATTAAAGTATCGTATTGTCATCCAACATAATCGTGTATATAAATTTCAGGGCAACTGAATACTTTAACTAGTGAGAAAAAAACCTTTTCAAGTTTTGACACAAGTCGCCAAAAGGGTCACTAAGTCGCCAAAAAGGATGCCAACGTGATTATATTTGTAATTCTTTAAATAATTAGTTTTAATCAATTAATTTTTATTAATTATTATTATATTATTGTATTGTCATCCAAAATAATGTGTATATAAAATTTCAGCTAAATTGAGCGCTTTAAAATGTATTTTATTAACGATTGAAAATTCCACCCAGATAAATAAATAAATATATAGAGATTGTGAGCTAATAGCTGGAATTGAAAAATGTAATAAGAGTCGTTATACAACACACACCATTTAATCGTTTGCATTCATATTTATAATGATATTTCGTATCACAATCTTTTATGTAAGAGAACAGCAAAGATGGCCGCTGCTTCTCTACATAATTGAAAATGAAGAAAAACTATTTTATTTTATTTGCATGAATTTTTGTTAAATATCAATACGTTTTGTTAGAAATTTTTGTTAAAAAAATTATTGAAATTTTCGGACATAAACCCTGCATGATATTATTTTGCTTGCGTAATTCTAAAGTTCTTTTTCAAATAAATATAAAAAAAATAAATTCACACACACAAAAAAAAATATTTCTTTTTTTGTAATCATTAATTAAAATTTTTAAGTTCTAAGATATATATATATATATAATAAAATAAAATGGGAATGTACTTATATTTTAACTCCACATATTTTTTCCAATAATTTCAAGCTTAATTTTTCTCTTCTTGTAGCCATAAAACAGATGGAAGGGAAAAAACTCTTTGAATATACAATGAAGTTTTAGATGTATTTAGGATCGATTCAAATAAAGAAACTGCGCAATTCTTCAAAAACATTTTAATTCAAAAATAACAAACGAAAACTTGAACAAGATAAATCGCTTAGTTCAAGACTGCCTTTTTCTTCGAAAGAATTCCCATTTATTTTCTGTAATTAAATAATTTAAATTCTAAATTGAATTTTACGAGATAAAATTATGAAAATAAATTAATTAAAAAAATTATAATGTTTCAAGTCAAAATAAGTTTTTAACCAGAGAGTCTTTTCATTGATTGAATATTTTCTCTTTATTTCAAGGCCGCACTTAATTTTTTACTGTTATATTTTTTAAACATTGAATCTTTTGACAAATAACTTTCCGCTTTTGTTATATAGTATCACATGGCAACAGATAAAAAAATAGTTTTCTAGAAATTTTATAAAAAAATTATGTGAGCAATTATTTATAATTTCAAAATATTTTTTAAAAAAACTATAATGTCGATATTTTATAGCTTTTAAATTTTAAATTTGTGTTGCTGATTTTAAAATATTGAATACTTCTCACTTAAAGAATTAAGTTATTTAGTAAAATGTGTTGGTGAGAATTCTTTTAAGTATTTGCGAATATTGTTATAATTGAATTATTCTAAATTGATTTTTACATTGTCTGTATTACTATTTATTACGATTTTATAAATATATATATGCAGAAAATGATAACAGAATATTTATATAACTTTTCTCAATTTCTGAATTCAATAATTATATTAAAATTTGCGACTTTAAGGTGAAAAGAATCATTTTGTTCAGAATATACGCAAAGCTTAATTCAGACAGACACAAATCTAACATGATAATGTGTTTGACATATTTTTAAAAACTAGAACATTCTTCGTATTGTGAACTTGAACAAGTATGAATTGAAAGTTAAACAAGTAGTATAAAAAAATTAAGTCAATTCCTACATAAGTCAAAAAAGAAAAATTTTATTTTAGTTACTTTTTATTAAATAGTTACAATTAATATAAATATGTATATACATATAACAGAATCAAATATTAAATGATAAAATAGAAAACGATTTTCCTTGCAGTTTTCCATTTTACTTTCTATATAGGGTGTTGGACTGGTTTTTTTTGTGATTATTTATTCATTAATTGAATTTAATTATTCTAATAAAATAGTACATTGAAAAAGAAATCACATTCTTAGAAACTAGGCCAACCTGGATGGGATTCGAACCCACGACCTTTGGATTAGAAATCCAACACACTACCCTTTGCGCTACAGGGACACAGCAAACGATTTTCCTTTCTATATATGCTGTTGACTATTATTTTTGTTTGCTACTATTCATTCATTTTTAAATTTACTTAATGAATCAGTATTTGAACGATATATATATATATATATATAGGGAGAGAGTGAACTAATAGAGTAGGAATTGAAAAAGAAACATTTTATAATAAGTTCTCTGGCTCTACAAAATTGTAGTGCAACTTTTCTTACTTTACTCTTTCTACTACCCTTAAATTTCATGCAGCTGAGTAAATATACTCAAGCTGTGGAGCTTTAAATTGATTATTTGCAGATATAATTAATTTGCTCACTGAAACACACACTAATGGGTTCATTTCCAATAAATTATGAAGAAGCTTTTTTTGTTGTTGTTGTTATCGTTACGAGAAAAACGGACATATTCGAAAATAATAACTGTGTTATAAATATCCAAAAAAAGTCTTTTCATTAAAAACTCAGAAAAAAATATATCTTGCATCTCAAATCAAATGTTTTTGGAATCCTTTTATTGTTTCGAGTTCTGAATCACTCACACACACAATCTTGTTGTCACTGATTGGTCAGCAGATCATCCGGAGAGATCAAAACTTGTTTTAAGAGCTCTTGAGGATCTCCATACCACTTAAGGCAGTAATTTTAAAAAAATTAAAATACAATGACACCCATATCATTTTTGGAGAATATGTGAATGCTTGCACGTAATCTCCGAAGACAGATGGTTTCTTTATACAGTAGCTGGTTAAAATGATTTTCTTTAAAAAATCTTGCTTTAAAGCACTTAGCGCTTAAAAATACTTAAATGCAATAATTTCTGTTGTAAAGGGTGTTTTTTTTAGAGGTATAGAACTTTAAATTGCAATAAAACAACGATGTATTATTCGATTGACATGAATTTTTTTATTCGAAAGATAATCTTGTGGCATTACATTTTAAATATGATCAAGCAAGGCGTAGATTCGTCGAATGGGCCCAAAACGAGATTGCCGTTGTTCCCGATTTTCATAAGCGAATTTTGTTTAGCGATGAAGCGCACTTCTGGTTCAATGGCTACGTCAACAAACAAAACTGCCGCATTTTAAGTGAAGCTAATCCACAAGTGTATGTCAAAACACCGTTACATCCAGAAAAACTGACTGTTTGGTGCGCTTTATGGGCTGGTGGAATCCTTCTTCAAAAACGATGAAGGCCACAACGTTACAGTCAATGGTGATCGGTATAGAGCCATGATTACTAACTTTTTCATTCCTGAATTGAACAATCATGATGTCCAGGAGCTGTGGTTCCAACAAGACGGTGCAACATGTCACACAGCTCGTGCCACAATCGATTTATTGAAAGACACGTTTGGTGACCGCCTAATTTAACGTTTTGGACCTGTGAACTGGCCTCCAAGATCTTGTGATTTAACACCGCTAGACTATTTTCTGTGGGGCTATGTAAAGTCATTGGTCTATGCGGATAAGCCACAAACGCTTGGCCATTTGGAAGACAACATTCGCCGTGTTATTGCCGATATACGGCCACAAATGTAGGAAAAAGTCATCGAAAATTGGACGTCCAGATTGGACTACATCCGAGCCAGCCGTGGGAGTCCTATGCCAGAAATCATATTTAAAATGTAATGCCACAAGATTATTTTTCGAATAAAAAAAATTCATGTCAATCGAATAATTCATCGTTGTTTTATTGCAATTTAAAGTTCTATACCTTTAAAAAAACACCCTTTATATATTGTGTGTTTGATAGGAGAACCTCGTTTCGTGAAGGTGTCGTGATATATGTAAATAAGCATATTATTTAACCCAGTGGTGCATACAAGGGTCCACGAATCTGGACCCCCATCCTAAAGCCCTTGAACTTTCGATCCTGGACTCACCCCCTCTCCTCCCTGAAAATTTTTTGTATGCGCCACTGATTTAATCACAACTGTAGTAACAGAATTTAGATTAGAGAAGATTACTGAAGCGAAGTGTCGATGAATGGTAGTAAAACGATAAAAATGTAAGTTTTAAATTCATTAACAACATAACAACGAGATTAAATTGGAAAAAGATCCTGAGTGAACCTAGTTGAACATTGTGAGCCATGTTTCAAGCGTGGGGGCTACATTTAAAGGTATTATACATACTTCAAGTTTCTGCTCGTAAAACCGTTCCACGCGTATAAGTATTTTTGATCTTTCGATCGAGAATGAAACATGAATGAAAACTTCTACCATTTTCGTACTTTTGATCCATTGTCATCTGTCCTAATTCAGCACATATTTAAGGTCTTCTAAAAGTTAGTGGCATTTGATTTTATATTAGGGCCAAAAATACAGCCCGCTAACCCAAGTCCTGATTGTTGCATGAAGCTTTAAGTATGAAACGAGAAAATACAATTATCAATGAAAGATTTTTTAAAACACAAGATCGGACCCGTAGGCTTTCTGGTTTTTCGTCATAGTACATTTTGCTTAAGGTATCTGACAACGTTCAGAATCGGGATTTTTCAAATGCGTACAAACGAATATTTTTTTTTAATATTTAGGGTCACTTGGATTAGAATACACGTAAGAAATTGTTTTAAGAATGTTATTACAATTAAAAATGATTTTAATGTAATATTTTGGCAAAAAATGATCTTAGAATTATTTATTTTCCAAATATTCTTCTTTTATGGAAAATGCTTCTGTAGTAAAAAAAATATATATATATTTTGCCTATATAGAGCTCAAACCTCTGCACAGAGTCTGAACTATGATTTTTTTTTAAATATATAATTTAAAAGTGGATTTATCCATATTTTGATACATCTGAGTGGATAAATTTCAACAGAAAAGCACTGATAATTACTTCAATTGGTAGTAACTCTGAAAAGAATGTGAATTTTTCGACAGTCTTAGTTCAGGTCTTCTGAAGAAATCTTAGCTATATATAAGCACATATTATTATTACAGAAGCATTTTTCATAAAATTAGAATGTTTTGAAAACAGATAGTTCTAAGTTCTTTTTTTTTTGCCAAAATATATTGCATTTTAATAATTTTTTTATTGTAATAATATTCTTAAAACAATTTATACGTGTATTCTACTCTAAGTAACACTAAATATTTTTTCAAAAATATTCTTTTGTACGCTTTTGCGTAATCATGGTTTCGAACGGATACCTTAAGGAATTACTCGTGCTTGCACCTAATCATCTAAAGAGCACTCAAAACCCCGAGCTTCTCTCTTTATCCTACCTTCCTTCCCTCCTCTCTCACTACAATCTCCTATTAATACATTCTATTTTTGTTAAGTAAAAATATATGTATTCTCTCAGCTCTCTCTCTATACATATATCTGTGTATCTTTTCTCTTCTTAATTTTGTTATGCAAACTCAAATCATTAATCATCTGGTAAAATAGACCAGAAATAATGCTTATTCATAATAAGATATTTTCTTCGGTAAAGTAGCTCTGGTGTATTTCATTGCAAGTAGGAAAAAAGTGTTGGTGTTTTTTAGAGATAACGTTAATCGTGAATATACGAAAAGAGTGCAAGGGGGAGGATTCTTTTGAACGAGAAGTATTTTGAAACGCTTGATGCTCATTAGATAGAATGATACTGAGAGATTTTTCGGTAGAAAATATAGATTATTCTGTAAAAGATGAAAGGCACAGAGAGATATAAAAAGAGAAAGTGATATATTCTTTTAAATCTGATCGTCTTTCTTTCGGCAACTTAGCTGCGAAACAAAAAGCATTCACGTATGAAGCTCTCTTCGGTAGATATCACGATTTAAGGCATAAAACCTTTTCATTTTTAAAACGCTTAAGAAATTATATATATATATATATATATATATATATATATATATATATATATATATATATATATATATATATATAAAATATATATATATATAAATATATATATATATATATATATAAATATATATATATATATAATATATATATATATATATATATATATAAATATATATATATATATATATATATATATATATATATAACATATATATATATAAATATATATATATATATATATATATAAATATATATATATATATATAAATATATATATATATATATGACAAAAAATGTTAGAGTGTCTCCCCCTCATCCTTTTTTTTATTTACCAAAGAGACAAGTAAGACCTCTTTCATTCTCGAAATGAAATAAATGCATTCAATATAAATCATTAACTTTTCCGAAATTATAAATTGAATAAGAAAAAACTCCAAGCAATCCATTTTGCAGTAAAAATTGTATGACGTGATAACAATTTACAAAACAAAACGAAGCCATAAAATTCTGAGTAATGAATCACTTATCTAGCGAAAATATTATATATCAATCGAAATACTCGTCTGACAAGAAGTAAGAAATTGTAATTTTTAATAAGAAGAGTTTTCCTAGCAAGTATTTAGGAATACCTTAATTTAATAATTTACAGTTGTTAAAACGAAATAAGTATCAAAATGTAAGTTTAATGAGTAAAAGTACTTTTAAATCACACTCTTTATAGTATTATATCAGGTATACTTTAAAAGCATTCTATACTAAAAGAAAAAAAGGCATTAAAGAGATTCGGCCTTAAAAATTTTATGGTTAGAACTATCAACATTTTAGCGGTTTGGTATAATAGTTATGTGTCATACTCATAATGGTTATTGTGACTAGAGTTGCTTAACTCTAAGAACGACATTTTTGCAGGATTTGGATCAGTGATTCCCGAAGGGGTCTGTATAGACCCACAGGAGTCTATGGTGACCTGCAAGGGGTCCACATCAGTAAAAAAATAGTTTGCGGATCCATGAGTGGTAAGTAGGGGTCTATGATAGTGGCTCTAACTAAACTAGATCGTGACTTAAATTTTAAAAGAAAATTTAATCAAGTAGGGGTGAACCAAATTTTACCTATTTAACAGATTTATTTACTAAATTTAATGAAGTTAATTTGCACTTACAAGGGGACAGCATAAATTTTATTAAACCAAGAACCATTTC